GCTGAAATCCTCTCGCTTCGGAGAGGATCTCTTAAATCCTCTCGCTTCGGAGAGGAAAAGGCACAGAGCTTTAGTAATACCCAGCCTATCACCTAAAATGACACGCGTGCAGGGCATCTGCACAGCACACCCAGCTCCCCCAAAGGCACCAGCCCGTCCCCGCCATCTCTTCAGTGCTTAAACATCACCATCGACCCTGAAATCCAAGTGATTTACAGGAAAATACATTGTCGGCAGTTGGAAAAATCTGAGCCGAAAACTCCCGTTTGCAAGCGGGATGCTCGGGCATATTTTTAAATGGATGTCCTGTGGCAAAGCATATTGCATCCTCTAGTGCTACAGTATGTGCCTGTGACCGGGGCTTTCTCGCTGCGGAGAAGTGCGGTGAGCAAGGCAGTCATCATCTCCTCCCTCTGCTCAGCTCGCCAAGTGCCGGTTTCGCCGCCCCGTTCCCGTCTTGCTCCCACTCCTCGCACCAGGCTTGCTTTCAGGCTATTCCTTCTGCACCGAGTGGCTTTTCAGACTCATTGCACCAGACTTGTCATTTCTCATTCAGATTTTCCTCCTAGATTTGGCTTTTCCCTCTTACGCGCAGAATTTGCTCATGTCTAATGAATTCTGCCTCTGGACTTTACGGGGGAAAGGAGTAGCGTCGGAGCAGCGTACAGCTGCCGGTGCCCTCCTGCCCACGAGTCCTCGCCTCACACTCGGCTTGTAATAATCTGAAAAACGAGAGTGGAAGTGGAGTTCATCTCTAATTACTCCACATCGTTATCACCAGCTAGTCCATGAGCCTGGACCCCTTGGGCTTTTACAGTCCCTCTTTTCAGTGCCTACAGCTGAGTACAAGTGGGAGGCATTAAAAAAAAAGAAAAGAAAAAATAGCTGTTTTCTCATTAATTGTCTTTGAAATATAAGTCCATGGTTGCTGTTGCCTTTTGCCTGGTATGGAGATCTATTACCGTTTAGTTAACACGTGGTGGCCTGCCCATCTGGATCCATCCTTTGAAGGCCAAGTTGTCGCGTTTTTAGATAAACTGGGTTATTCAAACTCTCCATAAATCCCCAGTAAGAGGCAGTCATCTCTGACTGGGCTGTTAATAGGAAAAAAAAATAGCATTACCAGCCAAAATGTTGGCCCAAGCCTTGGCTGTGCTGAGAAGCAGGGGGGGACTTCTTCCAGGCACTGTCCTTCAGAAATTAAGCACCAGGAGGGATGTCTCATTCCTGTGCTGCTGCCAGAAAGGGGCTGTAAGTCAGGAACGTTTAATTTGTGACAACTCCTACGGCTGTGTAGGAAAAGGAACATTCTCCAAGCCACCGCCGTGCCATTTTGGCTTTGCTGTCGTGCCTTGGCGATGAAAAGAGGGGCTGTGCTGGTGGGAGCATCGTGCCAAAACTGGAGTCCTCACGGCAACATGCCGTGCAGCCTGGGAAACAATATCCTGAGGATATTCTAATTATCCCAGCACCAGATAACGGTGCTGAAGATAAAGCTACATTTGCAGATACATTCTGCTGGGTTTTTTGTACCTGCGGATGTGCTTTGCCAAGGTGGAATGGCTTGACGTTCCCCATCTTACCTCGGTGACATTGAAGTACAAAGCCTTCTGTAGGTCTTATGTTTGTGAGTAAAACCCTGCCAGGCACAAGCGCTGTGACGATCTCCCACATGCAGTGTCTGTTATTGCAAATACCAAATCATAAGGGCCTGAATCAATAAACCATCTCCCAGCTATAAGCAGCAGGTTGGAAGATTACATATTGCTTCCAAACAACAGGTTTATGTGCTCTTCCATGACACGACAGTTGCCCGGCTAACGGGATTACCGACGGGAGGCGGAGCCGGGCAGGGATGTCAGAGCGGACCCGATTTCACGTATTGGGATGGCGATGACAGGCGGCCGTTAGCAACGCACAGCGATGGATGAAGGCAGCCTGGGTCTCCCTGGAGCACGGCCAAGGTAGAGGCTCCTGCCGAAAGGGAACGCGGTGTTTAACAGCTCCCTGGGTAAAGGTCAGAGGGAACTGAGTCCATCTCTTTAATTAACAGGCATTTGTGAGTTCACAGCTGGAGTTCCTGCAACTCCTGAGGATGGCAGTGGGGATAGTCCAGGGTATTACTGGTTCTGGGGTATTACTGGTTCCCAGTCTTCCCAAGAGCAGGATGGCAGGAAGAAAGAGCAGGGATGTCTTTCTGCCTACATGTTGCCACTGGGGAGTGAGGAGAATGGCGAATCAAAAGGACAGATGCTTAGAAAAAGTAATAATTAGGTGGGCAGGACTTGGAAAGAGGAAATATGTGGACTCCCCAGTGGATGCACTCAAGGCACATGGTCTCATCAAGGATGAACTTTCTCCGCTTTCATAAAGCCTAATGATTGCCTAGTGCTGTGAGAAGCTGCTCCTGGGAAGTCCTAGGCTTGGTCACAGTTTAAATGCAAGAATCAGACCCCCGATAAAAGCCAAAGAAGCCGTGGTAATGAAGCTCCTGAGGCTGGTAAGACCAGCATTGTGGTGGCCAGCAGCCCAGCCCCACTGGGATGAGACAGCCAGGAGCGCTTGGGTCTCGCTGGGCTTACCAGGCTGGAAAGCACCATGGGAACTTCCCGAGAGGTTCCAGCCCAGCTGCCTTGAGAGTCTGACTTGTTGAACTCATTATTCCTGATGCAGCCCCTTCGACTTCATCTTGTAAAGGTTGCGAGGCAGATGGAGGGTCACCAGCACGTGTGTCAGATCTCTCCAGGGAGGGAGAGCTTCAAAAGCGACAGGAAAAAATCCTACAGAAACCTGCCAGTGAAGTGAATGAAAACAAAGCCCTCCTGACACGGATAAAACCAGCAAGGGGGTGTTTATCTCCTGCCTTTCTCCCACTGATGCGCTCTGTCACCCCGGCTTCTGCTCTCTGTGTCCTTCTGCCGCCTCCTGCTTTTGACTGAGGTTTCAGCGGTTGGAATGAATTCGTCCGACTGTCCAAACCATTTCCCATGTAGCATCTCTCTAATTGAGCATTAATTAGGCATCAGTTAATGAACGCTTGAAATAATTTATCTTTAGGTGCGTCCAGCTTGCAGTCTTACTTTTAACAGCATTAGACTCATTATTAGATTAACATCATTATAAATGTTCTCCATTACCTGCTTGTTTCCATTGTCTTAGCCTTATTACTGAGAGTGAAAATCACTCCTCCCACATGCATTATTGATGAGTAAGGACTTTCTATATGTAGCACGGGATTAATTGTTATACAGCATAATGCATTTAGCGTGAAGCCTCAATTTGTGCAAGAGCTGAAAGGGGCCAGAAGAATGCAGACGCCCGGAGCCAGCGTCCTCGGCCAGACACAGCACATCTCTCTCCCAGGACAGTGCCAGCACAGGAAGAATTTTTTTTAAAAAAAAAATAAATAAAAAGCTGGTTCGGTACCCAGGACCAGCACGGAGAAGGTTCAAAGGGCTGGAGCACTTCTCTCTGGCCTCTGCGGGCAGCGGTACCTGCGCCGGCAGGTTTCTTGCATTTCAAGGTTTTTAACACTTTACTGTCTCTTGGAGCAAGGCAGAGCTTTGGTTTGTTTAGGAAGTGGTCATGCTACTTCTTTTCATTAGGAGACTCGAGGGGAAGAAGCCACTTAGGACAAGAACAGATGCTTTAGCCCCAGGGCAGGGATGCACCTCCAGAGCCCCCGGAGGCAGCCTCGCCACCCCTGGCCCCTTCTCCACGAGGTGCTTTTCTCAGATGGACGCTTCCACTTCTCCACCCGGACAAGCTTATACGGGTCATGGCCTGTCTAATTCTCCAGCAGGATCTAGTCTCGGGGATGGGGCAGGTTGCTTCTCTTTCAAATCTCTCCTAAACCGCCATCTGCTTTGGGAGACCCATCTTAGCTCATGTCTACATGCAACTTGACTGCTGCTTACTGTGTCCATTACCGGTGCTGCTCAAGCTGTTAGATTTATAAGCTCTTTAGAGCAAAGCCCTCATCTTCTGGCTGCTGATTTATGTATCTTTACTGCCATAAAACACTATGTATAGCTACTACATAATATAAATAATAATACTTAACCAGAGCGAGCTACAAGTGGGGACAAAGCATCTGGCTTCTGCTCGCAGCCGGGATTATCAAAAAGGCAGAAGCTTACTCATCACTCACCCTCTTCTGAGGCCAAATTCACACTTGGTGTAACACCACCACTGTCAACGGTGTCAACGAGCTCCAGAGAGAGATTTTCCTGCCCTGTTCACACCCTGGATCTATCAAAGGATGCTTTCTAAATCCACCCCGAGCGATCTGGGCCACAAAGACACGACCATGACCCCCCGGGAAAATATACTTTGAAACTTGGGAACTAACTCAGAATGGGATGTTCGCACCACCATAGAGAGAAATTGCAGTTTAGGGAGAAAAAGAAGCCTCAAATGTTCACAATTTCATCTGCCAAGTGAAGGACGATGAAAGGCGAGGCCAGAGCAGCGACAGCAACTCGGCGCCAGCCAAGAGCGAAACTTCAGATCTGGGACAGTTTGACAAAGAGGCGTCAGACCGGTGCGTCGTAGCTGCGTGGTGGGGCTTTTTCCTCTTTTTTTTTCTTTTCTTTCTTTTTTTTTTCACAACACAGAGG